TGGGGGCGGGGGGCTGCTCTGAATGCGTCTTTTATGTTTGTATAAACTAAGTCCAGAGTGTTCTCTCCACGAGTAGCAAAATCCACGTGTTGATAAAAATGAGGGAGAACAGTTTTCATATTCGCCTGATTAAAATCTCCAGCAATGATGAAAACGCCCTCTGTGTGTGTAGATTGCAGCTCAGAGACAGTCCGATAGAGAACACTCATGGCCTCCTTTGTATCAGCGCTGGGGGGGACATACACCGCTGTGATGGTAACAACAGTGAACTCTCTGGGCAGGTAAAAGGGTCTGCAGCTAACAGTCAGAAGCTCTATGTCCGGAGAGCAAAAACTTGAGACTATTCTAGCATTTTTACACCAGTTGTTATTGATGTAAACACAGAGTCCGCCTCCTCGGCTCTTACCGCTGAGTTCTTTGTTTCTGTCGGCGCGGAAAGTAGCTAGCCCCTCCAGGCTAATGGCGTTGTCCGGGGTTGATGATGTGAGCCACGTCTCTGTCAGAATGAGAGCGCAACAGTCCCTAAACTCCCTCTTTGCTGAGAGCTCGAGTTGAAGATGGCCAAAAGAAGCTCTTTGGGTAAAACAGGAAAGCTGTGAAAGATTGCCAAGAAGATTATTGCTGTTCCAAATATTGAAGGTTTCTGGTGTGTGTTAGTTACAAATTAAAATCAAAGATTGTCACTAACTTTGAAATAATAGGATTAATAATTATAAAGTGAGACATTTTCACATGTATCACCCAATGTTGATGTATATGACAATTCTTTAGTGAAACATTTTAATTGAAACTGTAATGGTTTTAATACAGTAGTGGTGGTTTTCGGATTACCGGTATCTCTTTGCAAGAACTAAAAATTTCAGTCCTTAATGGATAGAACAAAAACAAAAACTCCTGGATTATATTACTAAATAACTTCTTAACCAGGCAATAGCATTATACAGTATCCGACTACTGACCTTAATATGTAATGGTTTGTGTTAATTAAAGTGGATACACATCTAAAAGTTACAGAATTATAGTTTCTGACTTTCTTTAGTTTATAATGTCTTAACACTAGAAATACCAGGATTTTTCCGCCTACCTAGAACTTCTAGGGAGGGGTCAATTGTCCCGGCGGCTTTTCCCGAATACACTAATCACTCATTCTGTCATGGTAATGAGGCTGTTATGGGCCGTGTGTGGGGTGAGGGGTGAGGGGGTCACACCTCACAGTGGTAACAGCCAAGACAAACAGGGACAGACAGCTTCTCCCCAGTGTGTTACAGTACAGTTTTTCTCCCTTGGTTTGGCTCATTTCTTGAAATTGAGATGTCATTCTCAAAACATGGACAAATCCCAAAACTAATTTGCAGTTCCTCACAACAGAATGGCATTTATCATAACTTTCATCAAATTTCAAATGCTTTTGTATATGTCTCAATCATTTAGTACATCCTTGCAAATGGTTATGTACAAGTAAGAGTAATAAAGATAATTGTGCAAAGAACATTCTATGAGTTGCAAAAAAATGTGCAAAAAAACATACTAGGTCAGTTGAGGCAGACAAGATTAATATGACCAGGAAAGAGTGTTGACAGATACATTTATGATATAATATAGAGATATAGAAGTAAAAGAAATGAGACATAATTCAAGTCAGTATTTCCATAGTGTAATCAATAGTTCCATAGTGCAGTGATTGAAAGCTCAAGCCATTGTCTGAATTTTTCCAGAGTCCCTCTTGTCCCTCTTTTCAGTCTCTGACACTGTTGAATTGTTCATAAAATGTAATATTGTCAATCACAAGTCGCCTTCAGAGCTTCCTTTGTTTCATCACTCTGGACATGCTTGGCATCATTCGAGACTGTACAATTCAACATGCGAAGCAAACTGAGCATGTGCATTGGTTCATGGGCATACCTGAACTAATGGCATTTATTTCCATCACCATCATGAGGGGAATCTTCAAGGTGCCATCACTGCCTGACTGTTGGTCGAAAAACCTGGGAATCCCACACATCATCGAAACCATGACCCGAGGCCGTTTCCAAAACATCATGCATCACCTGCGTTTTGATGACAGAGACACCCGCAGCGAGCGAGTACAGACTGATAGGTTTGCTGCAATTTCAAACATATGGGGATTGTTTGTCACCAACTGCATCACATCCTACATTCCTGGTCAAGACATCACTATTGACGAACAACTTTTCCCGTGCAAGACTCGCTGCTGTTTCCTACAGTACATTGCAACTAAACCAGACAAGTTTGGTATCAAGTTTTGGGTGGCGTGTGACTTGAAAACCAAATACGTCTGCAACATCCTCCCATATCTTGGCAAGGACCCCACTCGGCCTCGTGGGGAGAGAGTGTCTGAGAGTGTAGTTATGAGGTTGATGGAACCATTCTTGGACAAGGACAGAAATGTTACCACAGACAATTTCTTTACATCACTGTCACTTGCAAAACGCCTATTCAGCCGGAACACAACCATCCTCGGCACAGTCAACAGGATTCGCCAAGAAATCCCACCGTCAACTCGACAGATGCACCGCAATGAATTTACCACCCAGGTATTTTCATCCACTGGTGCCACACTGACTGTGTATGTTCTCAGCAGCATGCACAGCACGATTGAGACACTGAAAACCACCAAAAAGAAGCCAAACACCATCACACTCTACAACACAACAAAGTGCGGCGTCGATGTCATGGACCAGATGGTGCGGGAATACACTGTCCGTGCAGCAACAAGGCGCTGGCCAGTAGCAGTGTTCTACAACATGATAGACATTGCAGCACTGAATGCCCACGTGCTCTATCAATTATGCACCGGGAGAAAGGAAAGACGGGTGGATTTCCTGTTTGAACTGGCAAGAGAGTTGGCTCACTCCCACATGGGTATGAAAAAGGCCCAAAAGGAGCAATTGCTTCGGCAACAACCCTCCACACCACAACTCGGACAAAGAGCCAAGTGTCAGGCTAAAATCAAATGCAAGGACAATCGTGCAAAAGTGCGCTGTGAAAAGTGTTACAAATACACATGTGGGAAATGCCGAAAGGAGCAATGGCAGTGCTAGAATTGTTAGTGACTGCTCAAATGTTTTTCACTCATTTGCATTCTTTGTAAATATGCTTTTTTTCTTTGTAATTCCTTTTTCTTCTATTTTTGGCACACAAAAATAAGTTACTTATGCCACAACCTTCCACACGAAAACTGGGAAAACAGTTGCTTTTGCATTCATTGTAAATATGTTTTGTTTTGTATTTTTTTAAAAATAAATGTTTAGAGTTTTGATCCCAAATTCTCGTTGATCCTGATGATTCACTGCGTAAAAATCCACTAAATCTATACTAAAAGCTTGCCTTGGCCAAGTTGAGCCTGTGTAGCCTCCCCACAATGGCTCAAGCGACTCTGTTACTCAAGTGACAGCTATGAGCTGCTAACAGCCACATTTCCACAACAAAAGGAGTGTCCGCAGGAGGTCCAAAGGGACAAATGACCCTCTTGTAGGGCTTTTAGGTAAAAAGGACAATTGACCCCTCCGTAGGAGTTCTAATGTTAAAGAGCTATAAAAGCCAAAATATAAACTATTCAAGATACTTAAAGTATGCTGCTTGAAAGTAATGGACATCTTAGAATAAGACTTTTCCATTTCATACACAGCATAGATCAGACTTCACTTTAATGATTAATTGGGTGTTTTTACTAGCAGTTATTCTAGGGGTAAGTGACAGATTTTGGTTTTCGTTTTTGCTTTTATAGCTAATGTGTATTGGTATATTTGAGAAAAAATAATTAAAAAGAGTTAGAGTCCTATGAATACTGTAAAAACATTCATGTGGCTTAGATGGAGCATCAAAGCAACAAATCCATGTTGTATTTGTTCCTTATAACAATGTAAATCCATCCACCCACAGGTTCAAGCATTGCATCTCTCATTCTTACAGATATTCAGGGTTTCATCCTTGGTATTCATGAGCTATCTACAGGATGCAAAGTGCTGCCAACCAGCTGCTCTCTTCTACATCTTCACCCTTTCTCTCTCCCTGTGTCCTTCTCTCTCTTTTTTGTCTGACTGCCTGTTTCCCACTTCCCCGAGACAGACAGCAGGCAGGTGTGGCAAAAGAACAGACAGATGGCAAGAACGACTGAAGAAACTTTTTAGGCATGAAATGAAAAAACAAAAGATGTGGAGCAAAGGCTGAACCCAGCAAAAACATGCACTCAATCACGGTGAATTAACTGTTGTTAAGTCAGCCACATAAGCTTCAATGATATCAGGCTACACACACACATTGCACACACCTCTAACAGCATGCCTTTTTGATGCTTTGGCCTTGAGGCTGATGGCCAAGCTGGAGAGTATGACAGCTTATAACATCACAATGATGGAGATGTCATTGAGCTGCTCTGTTTTATGACTTACCTCTGTGCTTGTAGCAGAGATTTAGTTTTAGGTTCTCATCTCCAATTTAGCACCCCGCCTCTGCTCTAAGGAGGCACTCTATTATTCTCTATGGAAATAGATGTATGACACATACATTTTGCACACTGTTGTGTAAGTGCATTATCACATCCAATTTCAAAAGTTTAAGTCTTTATTTGTGCAAGGCTTGTTTGGGATTCAGTCAAGGCCAAGTGGTCCTTTTGGATGGACCATTAATTCCTGATAGACCCTGTGTGTAATGTCTAAAAAAGGAATCCTGACAAAGGTTCATGGTTGTAAAAAAGTGACATTAAATGGCCACTAACGTGATCCGTTGTTCCTCTTCAAGGATGATGTTTTTTGTGTATTTTATGTTCACCTCCACTGAAGGTGTTCTTTTCATGAACTGTTTGAAGTAAAAAAATATATATAAATCCTTGTTCCTCCCACACACTTTAAATTCACTTATGCTTTTCAGGCTTCAGTTTCTTTTTAATGTCTTTCAAATAATTATTTGGAAGCACTTAAGGATATGTTTACAACATTTTATTATGCATCTAAATTGTTTTTCTCTTTTGTTGGTTCAAGGGTACTTTCTGCAAACACTGTTTCCACCATCCCAGCGATCCTTTCAGGGATGCATGCAAGCAATTCTGGTGGACGATCATCCTGCTGATTTGCATGCAGTGGAAAAAGGCACAGTAGGGGCATTCGAGAATATCAGCCTGGACATGTGTGCAATCATAGACAGGTATGCCTGTCATTGCCACCTACAACCGCAACACACAAACACACACATCCACACATGAAAACACACCTTACAGTTCATTAAAGAACATTGGCAAATGAAAGAGAGCAAAAGGAACCATAGTGTCATAAATCAGAAGGTTTCAAATGGAAGTTGCAAAGTAAACAAGACGGTAATATAAAACCCTTAAATTTTGATCCTGAGACATATTAATCAGGGCCCTCTTTGTTGTCTCTGCAACCTCAGTTGAATTATGTTTGTGTGGCTCATCTCAATGCGCTTGTCACGCTGATAAATGGATATAATTTATAGGGTGGCTTCACATAGTAAGGGAATGTGGCAAATGTTACGTGCTTTCATTTTAAGATACACCTCACTTCTTACTCTTTGAAAAACGGCTGTAGGATCTTAATCAGGCATCAACAATGAGCTGCATAGCTCCCTATCTAATTGGGGAGTGCAACTTGGCAAAAGCTGTAGATGTATGTGACATTTTCCAAAGTCGTTTTACTGGCAGCTCTAATAAGAAGCAGTTGACATTTCAGTTTATTTCTTTTTCACATAACAGGCAAACATATTGGACTATTTATGTATTAGATAAAAACATTATGGTGTGTGCTTGATTCATGCATGTTGTGCACAGAACAGAAACAGCTGCCATTATACATTTGTAATGACTGGGAGTGAGTCTTGGCAATATGTGTGGAGGAATTTGGTTTATACCGGTTTTATCAGAGCTGTTGACATTTCTGACACTGAAATTTGCTGGTGAAGATTCTCCGTCATCCAGGTCATAGTCATTCCAAAAACGATAATAAAAATTCCACTAGACTTTGTGTCCAAGTTTGGAGACGTTTTACTTCCCATCCAGGTAGCTTTTTCAATTCAAAATGTCGGAGTTAGCGTTCAGTTCGAGGCTTTATAGAGTGGACCAAAAAAAGCCTTGTTTTGGCTTAGAAAACTCGCAATTTGAACCTGAAGAATGGGTCCGCCCCTTAGGAATGAGTAGTCGTTTGGGTTCTTTGTTAGCCTGCAATACCCGATACTGGTCTATGCCTCTGAAAGCCTCTGCAATTCTTGGCCGGCGTGAACAGGCGAGATGTTCTTGTCCCCCTAATGAACCCATTTCAGAGATATAGACCAGTATTGGGTATGCTTTAATACTTTTATTGTATTTGTGGTATAAATAATACCTATTTTCCAGATTACATTGCTGCTGTGCTTCTCCTAGGTGCTTAAAACAGGCATTTTTTCTTTTTCTGAAAACTCTTATAATATCTGTAAAATAGCCAGATTTCTATCATCACACTTTGTGTGTTGTGTTGTGTAGTGTTGGGTAGATTTGGACAAAAATACTTAGTGGTCAAGAGAGAGGTCTGTATTTTTTATCATACTGAAGTTCACTTCACTTCAACTATGGTCAATAACAAAAGTTCAACCCAGCTCTCAGCATAACCTTTGTAGGCAAGGAGAGAGGTAAAATTCTTCCTGTAAGTCTTCACCAGGTTTAGACATACTGTGGTCCACCAGGAAGGCCACTCCGGAATCTTGCAAGGCTTTTAACAAAGCAAATCCTTTGTTGCTGTGCATTTGGAACCATTGTCATGCCATGTCTTATCTTCTAGGCTTCAGTTCAAAACAGCCCCAAAGCAGGATGTAAGTATGGTGATCCTTTGATCCCAACTCTCTGAGGGCCATTCCTCAGGTCTCTCTATGTAGTTCTGGGATTTTGGGCACCATTCTCATAATTCTGACCCTACAGGATAAAATCTTGCATGGGGCCAATTGTTCTCACAGTTATTTTTTTTTCACACCATTGTGCTTTCCTATTGTAGATCCATTCTTCACAGCCTGGTGCAGATCTACAATCTTCTTGTCGTCCTTCAACAGCTCTTTGGTTTTGGCCAGGGTTGAGTTTTGAGTCTAACTGTTAGTGCTGTGGACAGGTGTCTTTTGTATATATATAAAGATTTCAAACAGGTGCCACTAAAATACTGTAGGTTATGAGTGGAGGACAGATGAGCTTCTTAAATAAGATGTTACTGTGATGCTTGTTTGTGAGTGAACAAAATCTGTATTTTTTTACAATCATAGAATAGAATAGAATGTATGTATGAATTAATGAATCCTACAATGTGATTTTCTGATTTTTTTGTCTCATTAAGTCTCTCACTGTTGAATGATATGATAAAAACTGCAGACCTCTGTCATCTCTTTAAGCAGGAGACCTTGCACAATCAGTGGCTGACTGAATACTTTTTAGCCGCACTATATCAGCACAGCAGTACATCAGGTGGGCCTTGTTCTGCCATAGAAGATAAATGGGCACAGTGTTACCATCTAACTAATCAGAATGTCTTTGAAGGCAGTTCAATGGGCCTGTCTGACCTCCTTTTGATCAATGTCTTTCCACTGTGGGATTCAGTTTAGGCTGAGATGGTACAAAAATATAAAAGCACTTGCACCAACTAAATTCTACATCCTGTAGACACACTAGGCAATGCACACAAAATTTTCCGTAATATCAATGTTATTCTAAAAGGGTGATACAACAACACAAGCAGTAGGACAAAAAAAAAAAAAACTGAACACAAATCCTACATCAGCTCCAATCTCCCCATAGATTTTCTTTCCTCTCACACAAAGCCCAGAGTAGTTGGTATGGTTCAGTGCTCCCAGCCCGCTAAGAATAATGTCTTTTGAAATTGTCAGGACTTGTCAATTTCAACCCATTGTGCAAGCACAATGACATTTTATCTCAGCGTCTTTGTCTGCTGAAGCTGTACTGAGTTGTGTAAAGCAGGGTCGCTGTGGTTGTTTTCTGCTGCTTAGAGGCTCTTAAAGGTTTATTGTTGTATATAGCCATGTGGACAAAAAAAATCAACGTGGTATCTCAGCTTCATCATTACAGGCGGTATCTCTACAGTTGCCATCTTGTCTAGCCACAAAGATAGAAGGACTACGAGATATTAAACTGCTGGATTTCCAACTTGGCTGCAGAATGTGGCATTTTCAAAAGAACCCTGCTGTGCTTATGAGCCAGTGTTTGTTGGGCTTTAGCTGGCTTTCCTCATTCTCTCATTACTTTGATTCATTTAAAAATGAAAGGCCTCATTACATACTCTGTGCTTAGGAGGGTTTGTAGACGCGTTCCTACATCTATCCACAGCAAGCAAATTAAACAATGACATTTTTAGATAAAGTTGGTTTATATTTTCACTCAGACTTTTTGACAGGAAAAAAAAATCTATACTTATATATAGTGTATATTTGTGTGTGTGTTTGAGCTACAATTCGGGGCAGTATATTTTCAAATATCCGCAATTGTGAGGACTTACAGGTCTAAATGGGGAAATTCAACTGTTTTCTTCATTTGGGTTTGGGTTAGGTTTAGGACTATGGTTGGAATTCAGTTTAGGCTAGGGTACTTTTAAAATTGGTATGGCAGTTTCAAAAATAGCATAGATACCACTTTTAGCTCTAGGTAAAGCACGGACTTTGCACAGCTCAAATTATGCTCAAGTAGGTGGAAGCCTTAAGATTTAAAGTCTGATGTCCAGGTTATCTTCATAAAATTCACCTAAGTTTCAGTACCTTTTCAGAGAGATGGTGAAAAAGTACAAAAGTTGTGAATACTTAGCTATTGTGTTTTGAAAAGGCTTGGGTTTGAGAAATCCCGAAATTTAAACTTTTTTTAATGTAAAGTGATTTTTGGTGTTGGTGTCTTACATAGATTTAAAACGTAACTTTACATAGTCAAACTTTCTGCTAACATAATAAATTGAGTTTTACATACAAATTAGAGGTTAGCTCTTTTATAAACAATTCATCGAAACAATTTCAGAATATTAAGATGGGCAAATCTACCACACTGATGCAAAAGTAAATAAAAAGTACTCTGTTATTTGGCTTTTTTAGGGAAAGATGTTTTCCATTACAGATGGTGCCTCTGTGCAACTACATGAATGTTTTAACATTCATTTATAAACTTTAAAAATATGATGTATGCACCATGTGTGATGGGATTAGTATATGGTTTGTCGACACGCAGGTTGTGAATGTATACATGCATCTGATTTATAAAATAAATATTTTCAAGCCAGAATGTTGTTTAAATACTCATTGAGTCTGTCCAAATCTCTGCAGGTGTATGCCTAATCACTGTGAGCATGGAGGCCGGTGTAAGCAGACGTGGGACAGTTTCAGTTGTAAATGTGATGGAACAGGATACAGTGGAGCGACCTGTCACACATGTAAGTAATACATAGTTAGATATCTGTTTATTTCTGCCGCTCTTGTCTTTCCTTTTCTCCCTGATATGTGTTTATACAATGTCACCATTTAACTTTGAGTGATTAAGCTGTCTCCAAGTCCTCAGCACGGAGACAGATGAACTTTTGAAGTGTGCTGATGCCAAGCTTGTCCAACTGCACTGCATTTTGTTCCCATCAGAGAAAAAATGAATCAGACTCACAATTCAGCAGCACACAAAGCAAGCAGCGTCAGAAGGAGCTTTTCAGAGGCTTTAAGTTTTGAAAATGTCATTCTTTCTCCCATAAGCCACAGATGTTGTTCTCTTTTAAAGGGCAAGAGAGAAAAGTTGAGCATCCATTTGAGCAAAAACAGCAGAGTACAAAGAAAGTCTGATAAGTTTGGATAGGGAAATGGCATTCTTCTACATGTTCCAGGACTGGAATCTGAGCAAACATGACAATATTAAAATCTGAATAAAATACAAAAAGAAGAGATATATGGTGATAAAATGTTAGTCGTTGTAAGCTTTTCATCTGCACCTTATTACACTGCATGTATGAAATTCAGAGTGTCTCTTCGATAGGTTAAAAACTAAAGCATAGCATTTAATACACCAGTCATATTCTATATATTACTAATTTTCACTTTAACTATATATAAACCTTTACATTGTAAAATAATCAGCAAAGCAAATTAATGTCTGTGTAAAGCTCAAAAATGTTAAACTACATTTGGTTTTAGTAAGTAAGGTATTTGCAGAAGCTCAAATAAATAGCTTAGGCATGCGATTCCAAACATTTTCCTGTTATCTAGAGATGGTTGTAGGTGTTTCATTTGTTACTGTGAAACAGCACGTTGCTTTAAAAATGTCACAGCTGTCCTGAAGCAAGAAAGACTTTTAATCAGGGAAGATGGCAGAGGTCGAGGAGTCATATTATTTTAGGAAAAACAAAGTTGGTTCCCAGTTATAGCAGCAGGTTTCACATTTTAATGCAGTCAGATTTATTTTATTTAGTTACTATATTGCTCATAAGTTATCAAGTAAACATAGAAAATACTTCTCTCTCTCTCTCTCTCTCTCTCTCTATATATATATATATATATATATATATATATATATATATATATACTGTATATATACTGTATATATACTGTATATATATATGTTTGTGTGTGCTTGATTACTTGAGATACCTCCTACAGTAGAAGAGTGTGTTCTGTAGACTTGTGGAAGTATTGATAATTGTGTATAAACATACTGTAAAATATCCCTCTTAAGATACCTGATAGGTGTGAAAGCCTTCTAAGGAAGGCTTGCCCAAAGTTGGCCCTTGAAGGCCACTGTCCTACAGGTTTCAGATGTCTCCCTGCTCCAGTAATGTTTGTAGTTCAGCAAAAGCATGTTGATCAGCTATCAATTAAAATCAGCTGTGTTGTAGCAGGGATATCTGCAGGACAGCGACCCTCGAGGACAGACTTTGGGCATGCCTGTTCTAAAGTAACAGCGAATCAGATAAATAGGCTGGCACATATTTTGAAATATCAGAAATTGTTTAGCATTGTAAACATATCACACTGCAAGCTTGAATAGCCTTTTTTTTCACTTGTAATACTGCATGGTAGATACCAGAGTGAATAACTCATACTGCAAAACAATTAGATCAGACTGCTTTGATATTAGTTCAGCAATTAATGGACAAGTTACAGATATTCATGTTATTGATTTTTGAGTTGAAACCTGAAAACATGGTAAAACGGAGAAGCAAAAAGGGAGGAAGCAGAAGCTCAAAGCAAGGGCAGAAAAAAAATCTTTTTCTCTTTTACAATCTCCGAACTGCTCTATATCTACTTCAGGTTATCATAAGAAGGTATTGTTTTAATGCCAGAGCCTTTTTAATAAGGCAGACGATAATCACATGCTGTCAACCCGGCTTTAAACCTCTTACACCCTATAAAACAAATAAAGAAACCCTTGGAGGTGATTCAAAATCGCACAGGTAGCCTTTTCAGACATTTAAAAACTGTGTGACATTGGCTCCCCTTCAGCTCATTGTTAACATTCTCGCAGCATAATTGTGTAATAACTGTTGTGAAACTACATTCTAGCTAGGATAATTAGATAGCATGGCACAGTACTAATCAATATGGTATGTTGTAAAATCATGTCTAAAAATCTCTGCAGAGGACTGAAAAAGCAATATTGAAACTCAGGGTGATATAAAAAAAAAATGCAGTGATTGGATCTGAATATTTAGATTATTTTCAATTAAGCAGAATATTTAATGAGGGTAGGGATGGGTAGCACTTGCACTAGAATCAATATGCTACCTGGTAACCTTGGTCGGTACTTAGCGGTAACTAATTGTTTTGGTACCACACTAACATAATCTTAAACACTACACCCAATTACAGGGAGCAGAGACTGTGATAATACATCCTCATTGTCATTGCTGCCGTCATCAAATGTTTTAAACATTTCTTCTCCTGTGGTGCTAGTTGCAGACAACTAATTCTTCCAGAAAAATAAGGATATTCTTCCCTAAATGCCAGCAAAAATTGAAGACAATTTGAAGACAAAAACATCAATAATCCAGTAGTCAAAAAAACTAAATAAATGAGGAGAAAAAAGGAAAAATCAGACTGTGCACATGAGAAGACCCAATAAAAAGCAGACATGCCAAGCTAACAGAAGGCAACCCTTTAAACAACTTCTCGTTAAATTCCTGAGCATTCAATATGAATCAAAAAAAGTTTGACTTTTTTCAAAGTGATTTTCTTTCCATCTGTATTGCTATGTGATGCTACTATAGCCTTGCTCAGTGAAGCTCAACACAAGCCTTGCAACAGTTTTATGTCAAACAGGTTGTTAGTAAGTAGGACAACACACTAGTTCTTGACAGGCAAAAAGAGAAAAGCAAGGATAGGTAGAGTAGCAATGACATCAATGACCTTTTTTCTCCAGGAGGAGAAAACAACAGCAATTTTATACTTTAGATACAACAATTCTTCTTTCCACCACTATAGAAATAACGGATATTGACATGTGTCACATTTTAATAATAGATGGGCAGTGATGGATACTGACAGTGGAAATTTATTTCTCATTGCTTGTGGATTTGCAGAAAAATTGAAACACTGAATAACTGTCAAAGCTTTCTCTTTATCTGATGATTTCAGCAGCTGTGCTGTTAAGGGGCCATTATTACATAGTGTTTATACTGTCTATAGGCAGTTTGTCTCAACATGAATTATTGGAATGCTTTTAATTGTCCTGTTTATATTAAAAATATGTTATGGTGAATTTTGCAGCTCATTAGGGGCTTCAGATTGACTTACTTTTAGAGCTTGTATTTTTTTATCATTTTGCCCTTCTGCTGCAGCTCTCCATGAGCCCTCATGTGAGGCTTATAAGCACCTGGGTAGGTCATCTGACACCTACTGGATTGACCCCGATGGTAGCGGACCTCTTGGCCCTTTCAAAGTCATCTGCAATATGACAGGTGGGTATGGTAATGCATTCAAACATTGCTCTAGAATTTCTTGTGTTTTCCTGCTCTCTCTTTTTTTTTTTTTAGCCCCACTGACCTGTGAAAGAGGAAAACTGTGGCCCCTTGCTCTCGCTTAACCTAAGACAGCAACCGTTTTAAGTTACTGGGTTGGGGTTTCCATGACAACAAAACCACACATGCTTCAGAGTTTGGGGAGCATTATAGACACATGCTCATAAACACATGTACATCAACAGAGATATCAAAAACATACATGAATATAAAATTCTCAAACATTCCAAGTGACACTTTTGGCACACTACCAACCACCTGCACACTTTCATGAGCACATGCACATGCAAGGCTGAATACAGAAATAGTACTGAACAGCAGAGCATGAAGGCAGAGCAAAGGCAGGGTTTTTGATGAAATGTCACTGCACCCCACCGGTTGGCCCCTTAGTCACGCCGAATAGCACACTGACACACACCCCAGAAAAGTTAAAATGTTAAGGAGTTTTTCTTTCTCACTAAAATTCACTCCCTTGAGAGACCTGAAGCTCATACTCATACATTTCCTGAATGGCACTGTAAATGAACAGGAAAATATTAGAGTGACTGATTCAGACCGTAATGCCATGTACGTGTCTACAACAGGTCTTAACTCACATAGCTGCAAGTTGAAAACTTGTCTGCATGGATGGATGTAGGAAAAGCAAATATAAACAAACCAGTTTGAATTACAATTATGGTTTGTTTTAATTGCAGATTATTTAATATTTTGTTGCTAAACAAATTAAAATGTTACCAAAATTAAGATATTGACCATTTGATCAGTTATGTTTTTTGCATCTGTGTATTTGTAGAAGACAAAGTTTGGACGACTGTAATGAACAACCTACCCCCCAGGATAGCGATCACTGGCTCGAGCAGAGAGAAACGAACTGTCCTACAAGTCAACTACAGTACCTCTATGGATCAGGTAACATATACACACAGAGATGTGTAATCCTATACAATGTTTTACAATAAGAATGCACCTGCGAAATAACGTAAAACTGAATGCTCTATTAATTATTACAGGGTATATTTAGTACCCTATAAAAACCAATTTAATACCCTGTGCAATAACCCTGTGCAATAGTCCTTGCAGTGATGTTAAACAAGACTTCAGTTGTTATTTATATATATATATATATATGTGTGTGTGTGTGTACCTGTCTAGCCATCAGAGTGAGGACCAGTTGTTGCAAAGTGAGGTCCTCACATGCTATTTTGCTAATGGTTAGGTTTAGGGCTAAGGTGTTAAATGGTTAGGGTGAGGTATGCATTGGTAATGGTTACATTTAGGGTTAGTTTTAGGGTTAGATCATAGAAAGGGTTGAAAAGGACCAAAATCATTAGAAGTCATCACATGGTCCTCACTACGAAGGCAGAACCAGTATGTGTGTGTGTGTGTTTGTGGACGGACTGCATATACTGTTTATACCCCATATACCTTTTCCCCCTTTTGGTACCTTCTTTTCACATCAGTCGATGTGACAAGGGAATTTCTCCACTATCTTATCTTATGTTGTCTTATCTTAACCTAAATTATTCCTTATTTGAGTAATTAAGTATCAATGCACAATAGTGTTCCCAATCTTTCTTCTCTTGACCCCACCCCTCACCAGTTAAGTCCACAATATTGTTGTTTGCCACAGTTTGTTTCACACACGTCTTGCTTTAAGCCACTTGAGGAATGCATTGTTTTAGAAACTTTAAACTCTTCCCTAAACATGTTCAATTAAGGCAGTGGTTCCCAAAGATTTTCTTCTGGGCCCCCCTTTGGATTACAATAACATTTCCGCCCCCCCCCCCCCCCCCCCCCCCCCCCCCCCCCCAAAAAAAAAAAAAAAAAAAAAAAAAATACACATATTTTACAGTGGAACACTTTTGTGTAACTGTATTTTTTTCAGAGTTCCATAATGTAGATTAGAAGAGGATTCTTTGTTGTTTGTGTTATTTTAAACATATTTCTTTTTTTTTATTTGTAACAATATTTAACTTTGCTATAATCTATACATTAAAAAAGCCTCTGTGCAAAATGGAGTGAAAACATTGAACAGCTCCCTGAGAGTTTTTTCTTTGTACTTTAATCCTCCCATCTTTTCAGTGGCTGTAGTGAGCCTGCTTTTTGCTGTAAATCTTCTCAAATCTGGGTTGCAGTGTCACAACTGTCCATTATGCTCAGTCAAGCAAGCGCTGTTTTTTTTTTTTTTTTTTTTTTTTTTTTTTTTTTCTTCATTCATTCATCCATACCGCTTCCCGCGCCCCCCCTGCAATGGCATTGCGCCCCCCCTAGGGGGCGCGCCCCACACTTTGGGAACCACTGAATTAAGGAAATAAATCATCACCTTGGTCTTGAAAATGTTTGCTGAGATGAACTCTCAGGATTTCTGGAGTCTCATCATAAACGTTTTTGTTTATTTTCAGGAGACTTTTCTGTCTCATAGCAGCTTTTGTACACAGACAATAAAACCCTGTGTTTGTTATGGTTTGGTGCAGAAGCATGTCCCTTTATAATACAAAAGATCTCTTCTGTGCTGTTTTAAAAATATTTTTGGTCTCCAAATTCTTTGGAAGCAAACAGACCCCTTGCAGATATTCTCGCTGAGAGGAGTGGATATTCAGCAACATTTTATGCTTTGTAGGAATGGGAGATTGTTAAAAACCTGTGCATAATGAAACATGCTCAGGGCCACAAGAACATTTTATCTGTGAGGCTCAACAATAATGATCTCATTTGTAAGTTTTTTTTTAACTGCTCTCTTGTTAAGTTTGTGCACAGATTTACTAGCAAAATGGGTCTGTTTGTCAATATTTTTTTCAGAAAATATTGCCAGTACAAGAATTATTAATCCATGCAAATGCCAAGTTATTGTATAGTTATGCTACTTAGCTTAAAGGTATAGTGGAGGACGTTCATTTTCCAGGTGGATCGTCAAAATAAGATGTCCTCCTAATTGTCAATCATCCTGGTGACATGTTTACGTAAGACCGTCCTATGTACTCGTCCCCATTTTCACTTAAAAGTGGTGAGTCTGACATAGTGGAAAAATAGCAAATCATCTTTTGGAAAGTAAGCTTGTATGAGCGTTGCAAACAGCAACATTTAGGCAGAGCATGCACGAGGAGAAATGGGCTCATGCATGTTCTGGCACGCATTTAATAAGTGTTCCCTCTAGGAAGCGGGTACCGGGTTGTGCATGTGCATTTTTTTTTTTTAAGTGGACAGGGCGGGTCTTTTCAAAAATTCGCAAAAAAATCCTCCTCTATACCTTTAACTGTACTGCATAATAAATCCTCTTTTGCTTCATATTTTTCAAAATTTGATGCATTCTGGTTCTTTTTCATATATATTCATCTCAATAATTCATGCATAAGGCTATCTGAACAGAAGTCAGTTTTGCAAATTAAACAAAGAATGAAATATTTTTCTCAAGGATAATTTATATGCAATAGAGTCACTTGAGTCAGTTAAGGAATTGGCATATTGGAAAAGTTATAAAGTTACATATTGTCATAACATAACATGTAAATTACCAGCTAAAATTATATTGGATTTATATATCTAACAGGCAGCTATAGCCTTCCGTTTTGTAACATTAACTTTTTTATTGCTCTGTGTTTGGCTTTCTTCAGTACTTTTTTCTTCTCTACTCCCTTGTAAAATTTGCTTAAGAAGTTGAGTTATTTTTATGACCAACAGAGAAAGACACTAACCACCTGTGAAATGTTGTCTCTTTTGAGCACACAATGAAAGATGACCAACAGTGTGCCTATATAGTAAATATTAAGTTTTTTAAATGAGAACTGAAATAATTTATATATCTTGTTCTTTGAAAAATGTGTTTAATCATGCTTTAGTCTGTGAATAACACAATAGTTCTCTTTTTCAGTTCCTTATTAAAAATCAAATTTTAGCCTGACTGAATGTGACAAGAAGCACATTACTGGATGAAGATAGCAGGATCTTGGAACAGGATATTAAAAATATGACTATATGTATTTCTATATATCCCTTCTCATACAAAAATTATTGCTCTTAAATCCATATTTAATTGTTTTTTAATCCTTCCATAAGAGAAGAATATGAGCTTGTCTACCTCCTGGTAGTAATGATAAATGTGTTTCTAACTTTTTGTGCAAAGTCTAATAATACAATACATGCCAAATTAATGTGTATATATATACTGTGGGAGAATTTTGTATGTGTGTATATGTTGTGTAAGGATTAGTAATTTATTATTATTTTTTATTATCAGGTTAAATATATAAACCTAGAAGACTGAACACAGGTTTACCAATTGTTTCTGAAGCTGATTCAAATACCCTAAAAGTCTGCATTATGATAATCAAGTGGATTTGTAGTTACATTTTGTAGATTTTTATCTGCTGTAAGATGTAATATCTCTCTAAAGATTCTCTCTTCTCCATCTGTTTAAAATGTATATTTGTTTTTATTTTAATAATTCAGTTTTCAATTTAGTTCATTTATATAGCGCCAATTCACAACACATGTAATCTCAACACACTTTACAATTCAACCAGATCATACCGTCAGATTGGTTCAATTTTCTTTGTAAGGAAAACCAGTTGATTGCATCGATTCATTGATTTGAAGGCAATCCCTTATACCGAGCATTCTTGTAGCGACAGTGGAGAGAAAAATCTTTCTTTTAACAGGAAGAAACTTCCAGTAAAACATGGCTCAATGTGAACGGCCATCTGCCCAGGCCGACTGTGGTTCAGGGAGACAAAAGCAGACACACAGAAAGAAGCAGAGATACAAAAGTAATGTTTCTAAGTAATAAATATATCAGTTGTGTTGAGTAAACAACATTCATTCCCTCCATACACACCTGATGCAATTATACACCTAATTTACTCTCCAAAATAGCAAGGGTGCCTCACCCTCTCAATTCAAAGATGTAATACATCGTGCACACAAGTGGTGCAAGTATAAAAACTGGATAAATAATACCTAAACTAAAGATCTGATGATGATCTCACTTAAAACAGAACCATAAAAGTCTTAACCCAAGTATTAGCTTAGTTTTTTATATATTAAGAGATTTTTCACTTCAATATACAGCGTTTGGCATCTATGGCGGCTTTGTGCAGGTTACCCTACTCAGAAAGTTACCGCTGTGACTTGAGAATGTCAGATACGTCACTGACTGTTTCATGTTATCTAGAGCGCAGCTTTATAGTAGTCTGATATTTGGCATTGTTCCAAAGTATTTTCTGCACAACCGCTCACTCGTCATCTGGAATTTAGCTATCAAGAGCTGAATGTGGTCTTGTCCTTTCAAGTAACACAATGAATTCTCAATCTGCTGGTTCAAAGTGGTCTGCTATCAATTTCCAAAACGTAGAATAATTTTGTATGATTTTGTAACTTTTCCGTTTTGCTAATAGCCTTCATGGAGGTTAAACATGGAACTTACATTTCTAGAAATACAGTGTCGCTTTAATCTTTAGTTTACTCAGATGTTACATCTAAAATGATGTCTGTTATCTATTTTGGCATGCTGGGTCCTTGGACATTGGTCAATGATTATTTTCAGATTGAATCAGCTTATAATTATTTAACCACTTAGTTCTACGCACTTTTAGAATATGTAGAGCATCCAGTATCAGCCCAAGATGGTCAGGCTCTGATTAACTTGAGAAAGTTACCTCTTGTGTTATGGCAGCACTTATAGTTTTTCCTTATTATGTCACATTTGTTAACATTTAACCTACATAAAATGTGATTATAGATAAGGCATCAAATATGGCAAGTTAAACACAGTATGTCAGCAACTTTGTAAAGAGCGTAGGAAGTCTTTAACCCTATCAGCATATATGCTACGTGCTAAAATATTCTCCTTAAATCCCACTAAAAAATCTTTATCATTCACCATGCTTCTTCCTAACATGTGATGAAAGCTTAATCATTTGGACTTTAAATCTTTGAGCCCCCAGCTCTGCAAATGCCCTATGATAAACTAACATAATGAGTATTTAACCTCATCCCTGCATGACTTATCTGCTTGGGTTCTTCTAAATACAGCTCAGGTTACCAGAATCTGCTCCCTTGCATTTGGGAGTCGATACCTTAATCTTTCTGCTGAGTGGTTATAGATTGCAGTTGACACTCCTGGTCAAAAGCCAACAGTGGGTGAACTTCACGTGTCAGTGGCAAAAGAGGAGTGACTGCATTTTTTCCACAAGTGATATTGTAAAAGCAACTGAGAATTTTCACATTTCATTACACTTTTATTCATTTTCATGCATTTAAAGAAGGGGAACTAGAACAGATTTTATCCCAGTTTTGTTTTATATTTTCCTTTTAACTGAAATTGATGTCTGGTTAAGATTAAGTAAATATTCACAACCTTGCCTGTGTTTCTAGGTGACATCCATCACAACCAGTGCAGAACACTGCGAGCAGGAAATCACGTACATGTGTCGCATGTCCCGACTGCTCAACACTCCAGGTAAGGGATGAAGATCGCATCTTAATTCAATGAAGACCCTAGAACAAACTGCCTAGGTGGCATTTTTTGAGGAAGAATTATGGGTTTTTTTTTTACCACTTATATAATGTGATGGCTAATTAACAGTACATACATTTGAATTTCAGAAAAGAGTGAAGAGCAAATAAATCTATAGTACTTTGCACTTGACAAGAATATAGTGTAAAAAAAATCATGTAAATATCTTTTATTAATTCACTTTCCCTCTAATATTTGATATTTGTCAAGGAGCTTTTTAATGTTCAGCACATGTTTAAGGCTACTCATGTTTCCTCATCATTGTGTTTGAACTATTGTCTTGGTACTACCTTTATAACCAAGACAGGCCTTGCAACACAAACTCAGGAATGACTCAGGAATAGTAATTGTCATTGGATTAATTTGGCTTACTTTTATTGGTATTAGGTCGTGCTACATTCACTGTGTCTCTACTGTGTTTGATCACAGCCCAGTAATGTTTTAATAGCAGTTTACTTTAGATTACTTAAGCTTGTGTTTTTAATTGCTCCTTCTTAAGGTTTGGTTTTTGTGTGCAGCTGTGAGGAAGGTTTTTGGCAAACACCTGTAACTACAATATGTGTTAATGCCCTTAGAGCCACTTTAAATGTTCACCCTGAGAAAAGCAATCCTTGAGTCATTTTATTTTATTTATTTATTTTTTACACACAGCATGACCATCACAGCGCTAGAATGAGACTCACTTTATAGAGACCGAACACTCTTAGCCATTAAACACAGGAAAAGCAGACAGAATATGGGTGACGAAACAATTCTACATTTGTTGGTCTAACATCTACTGGACAGAGAATTTGCTATTTTTGTGAGGTCGGGAACCCTGATAGGCCACCACGAAGTTAGGCCTTTTGATGGTAAAAGTGCAATAATTTAAATGTTTTTTTTATTTTAAGCTTATGATTTAACTGATCTTTTAATAGGAAAAAAGTAAGGAAAAGTGGTAGGAGCTATGTTATTTTAGTAAAGCACCTCTACAAACATAGTAATTGCTTTTTGTGCTCTTGCATACGATTTTGTCTGTGGTCCTTGATTGGCTGAAAGAATTAAAGCAAAGGTGGTTAGTAATAGCTGGGTCTTAGTGCAGTAGACCAAGACTATGCAATTAACTTCCACAGCAATGAAAGATGGTCTTTTCATCTACTCACGTAGTATGCGTGCAATCGCACACATGCATACTCAAACTAAAATCCACTCTCTTTTAATATTCATTCTTTCTTTTTTGTTTCCTTACCTAAAATGACATGAGAACACACTCATACACTACATATACACATGCTGTTAAGGCAGGAAAACCTTCATTAACTAGTTTGCTCCTAATTCACAACATTGAAAGTTAGAGAAATCCAATTACTAGTCTAGAATGGCAGAGAAAGTAGGAGCAAGAAAAATCATTTACTCAAAAATATGCTTCATAAATTACCTGTCAGCTTTCATCAAATGACACTGTCAACAGCATTTTCAGTATGAACCACAAGCAGCATGTACACAAAGCGGAAACACACAGACTACTCTACCACTTCCAGCTTTTTTTCCTTTCCAGCTCTCATCTATTAGGGCAGGAATGGCATTTTGTGGCTAAATGAATCATTAGATAAGAATCATGGTGCACACCTTATTTAAAAACTTGGACAGTAATTGTCCTAAATGCATGACCCCTTTGCCACCCCTGTCACCCATTCTTTCATTTTAGGATTATTTTATCACCACTCTCACGTAAACACATCAGCCCTCAGCGAGCACATTCTGTTCAGTATTCACTGATTCGCAGGATGGGAACTACCGGAGTGCTCCGTGCTGACGTGTGCACAGCCACACACGAAAATTCGCAACCTGGACACAGTAATATTTCATTTTTCATTCCATCTTCCTTATTCCTTCTTCCATCTCATCTCCTTCTATCTCTGCTGCTTCATTTCTTCTACAAAATCCACATTTATCAATTTCCCTCCATCTTTTCTCTTTTTTTGCTTCACACTTATCTTCTGTATCGTCTCCGTACTTTCCCATATCCCATTACCCTCCTCAAGTTACCCCTCCATTCCTCACCTCCAGTTTCACTTCTTGTACATTTTATTTTACTTTTTTGAATGACCAACATTTTGTCCCATCACCTTGTTCCAGTGTTCCTGTTGTAGGGCACCTATAAAAAAAGCTCCAACCAAAGAGCCTAATTTTTCTTAATTATTGCGCTGGCTCAAATGCTCATCACAATCATTTAACCCTGCAATAAAGTAGGCCTTATATAACAGTTGCAGCTGATGAGCTTGAGTTTCTGTGGTTATAGCCAGTTTCCTTGGCAATGTGTCTCAATGTGAGATATGATATAGTCCATAACTAACAGTGACATAAAGACATAGAAAGAAATAAACGTTTTTGTTTTTTTTTCATAAAAGTAGCAAAATGTTCTATGTTGTTTCCTCTTCCCCTCCCATTTTATCCACTGCCATGGTCATTAAAATATTTATTGGTTAACGTCACCATTGTTGGCCAACAGCTCTATACACACAGCATCTCAAATATTTTTTTTTCCTCTGTGGGTATTGTACATATTGGCACACTGAGAAACATGTAATAAGCCTGAAGATAATTATTATTTGATTGCACTGGTATTATCTCACAATGACAGACATAGTAAAGACTAATCGTTAAAAAAGTCAGTCACACTACATTAATTAGAGAACTTTTTTCATATTATCATCAGAGAGAGAGCTCCTTCAGTGACAGACTGCTGCATCCTAAATGCACCAGGGAGCTTTATCCCAGATCCTTCCTTTCAGCAGCTGTATGACTCTATAACCACCACTGTACCCAATAACTTCAATAAGTTGTTACATTCATGTTGATTTTGCTCAATTTGCACAACATCCTGCTTTCATTTTTGCACATCTCTTATGTTGCTGCTATTTTTCAAATATCGGTTACTGTAAAAATGTCTATAGGTATATATTGGTTACTTATTCTCCAGGTGCACAGTTCTATATTGTTAAAACACTTTACAGTACAATATTTAATTTGCTTTTTAACTCCTTACTATTATGTCATTATAAATTTTTCTAAGGTCCGCATTTATATAACCATTTTTTCTATAATCTTTTTGCTGCTGTAAACTCCAGAATTTCCCCATTGTGGGACAATAAAGGGAATTTTATTCTGTTCTATTCTGTTCTATATGTTGCTTAATAGGTATTATTTCTGATTTGGTTGCCTATGTGCTGCTGTTCTCCTTATCCATATGTAGCCAATAGCAGCAAGGTTTCAGTTGTTACAAGGTTTCCCAGATCCAAGTATCGCTCTTATTGCATATATTAATGATAAGAATAGGAGTTCAGGTGAGTGTTAGATATTCCCTTGATTACTTCAGTTCAGCACAATTTTGCCTAAATCAAAATGCTCTCTTATCCAATTCATTTTGCAGCAGTCCTGAGGAACACCAGCTGTTGTGTCGTGTATAATACATTTATACCATTGGTAAACTGAAAGTCAAGGATTAGTTATTAAAAGACCCCACTCAATCCAACCAACATAAAAAAAGGAAATAAAAAAAATTAAATGCTTCGATAACATTTTGCATAAGGAATGTTACTGCTGGCACCAGTGACCTTGTAAGATATAAACAACATTTTGGTGTTTTTTATTCAGCTGAATAGATTTAGATAGTATTTGAATTAAAGGTTTGATTTATCTGACATTGATTGGAATTTTCAGATGAAAACATTTACTTTGCCTGTTGTCCTCCGAAGGCCAAACAGGTGACTTTATACAAACCTGACCAAATGCAAACAGACTCCAACTGAAGTGTAGAAATGAGATGCAGATTAATGTACAGAGATAAAACAAAATGAGAAACGGGCAAACACGCACATGCAGATCAGATTTTATATATGAGAGCTGTGCACACAAATGCACACACAGCCTTACTGAAGTTTTAACTTGTCAAAGCGCATGCTGTTTCTTTATTTTCCAGCCTTTCCCAGATTTGAATGATAGAAACATCTAAAAACATACAGGCTAATGGGAGAAAAAGTCTTTCCATCAAGTAGAGGAGCTTATTTATTCACTGAACTATGGTTCACTGACTGAAAAAAGTATACAGCTCACAGTCAGCGCTAATATGCTGGTATTTTCTCCTTGTACTAAAAAGCACATAGCTCATCAAGTTGACAGCAAAAGTATGCAGTTGTAATAAAAAGGGCTATTATTTTATTACATTATATAATTCTGAATTATTGTCTGTTAAATGGCTGTGAATCCATTAGCAACCAAGAAAGAAATGCACATTACAGCAGTGATATACAGTCAATACATGGAATTAGAGGCGACTTTCTAATGAAGGAAATAAGGAAAAAGAAAACTTTTTACTGTTTTTTTTTTCTTATTTATCATATAATTTGTAGAAAACATCCTCAATGATGACAGTAGATCCTAATTTCTTGATGTTTGATAAATCCATTGTTTTAAACATTAATAATGTTTTAGCTGAGGTGCAGATTTTTAATTTAGGTGTAGTGTTTTTATACTTCCCCACGAATTACGAACAGACATTCTAACCCATGTCGCAAATAGAGAGCTTCAAAACAATTTGACCTGGGCAAGTCGCAGCTTATGAATTCAGATTTACAGTCTCCCCTGAACCAACTATGTACTGAATAGGAAAGGTTGAAAATTGGCCCTGGGTGTATATGACACAAACAAGGCGAACACAGGAGGAGATGAGAAAGAAACAAGGGTGACAAGAGATGAGAGATGAGTGTAGTTCAGGATAATGAGGCTGTGTGTATGCGTGGCTTTGTTCCAGTCCATTTCTTTGGTACCTCTGGTCTCAATTATTGCCTCAGAAGTAATAGTCAAGTCAGCCACTGCGATATTTTGCACACATATTCATTGAAATTCTTGCATCTCTTGTGTTCAACTCTAATGACTTTGCTTCTTCAGTGCTGGTTAACCAT